TGTTTAGATCCACACAGTCAAATGTCTTTGCATAGTCAATAAAACACAAGTAAACATCTTCTGGTATTCTCTACTTTCAGCCAAGATTCATCTAGCATCATCATTTTTTATCCCTTATTCCACATTCTCTTCTGAATCCAGTTTGAATTTCTGGACGCTCCCTGTCAGCAGTAGCTGCAACTGTTAATTATCTTCAGTAGAATTTTACTTGCATTTAATAATAATATTGTTCAATAATTTCTATGTTCTGTTGGGTTACTTTTATTTGGAATGGATATAAATATGGATCTCCTCTAGTTGATTGGCCAGGTAGCTGCCTTCCAAATAGCTTGACACTGATAAGGGAGCTCCTCCAGTACTGCATCAGTTCATTGAAACATTCCAATTGTTACTCCTGGAGCCTTGTTTTTCACTAATCTTTTCAGTGAAGCTTGAGCTTCCTCCTTCAATACCATTGATTCTTGATCATATGCTATCTCTTGAAATAGTTGATAGACCAATTCTTTTTGGCACAGTGAGTATGTATTCTCCATCTTCTTTTGATGCTCCCTGTGTCATTGACTATTTTGCCATTGTTGTTGTTGTTGTTAAATGCTGTCAGGTCGGTTCCAACCCATAACAACCCTGTACAGGGTTTCCGAGGATGTAAATCTTTACGGGAGCAGAACGCCTCATCTTTCTCCCGCGGAGCAGCTGGTAGTTTCTAACTGCTGACCTTACAGTTCGCAGCCCGATTCATAACCACTATGCTACCAGAGCTCCTTAGAGTCATTCAATACTGCAACTTAAGGCTAGAATTTTTCTTCTGTTCTTTCAGCTTCAGAAATGCTGCGTTTTCCCCCACTTGTCTGTCAGTTTGTCATTACCATGGTAGCTCGCATGTTGCTGAGATGCTGGAAACTATGTCATTATTATTTCATATACCAGCAGGGTCACTGTTGGTATACAGAGTTCAGTGGAACTTAAAGATTAAGACAAACTAGAAAGAAGAAATAGGTGGTCTACTTCTGAGAAATTAGTCACTGAAAACTTTGCAGTCCTAAATTCACATTAATTTTTTATCTAGAAGTATACGTGTCTTTTGTGTTTATGGGCTCTGTTCTAATCTCAGTCCCTTCTTTGGCTTAGTTCATAATTTTATATTAGGAACAATGACAATTTCTACCTTTAAGAAGTTTGTAGGAATTCTCTTCTTTTCATAAAATACTGAATGTTGAATTCTCTCAGTTTCACCCTGCAGTTAGTTGTTGTTGTTGCAGTTAGTAGGCACATTTATTTTCAGTGTGTAGTATTTCTCTTTTATTACAGAAAGCTGCAATATTAAAGGGAAAAGTAGACCCAATAGAGTAAGCAGGACTGCACTGTTGCTTCCCGAGGGCGAGAGGGATTGGGGGCCCTCCCTCCCCTGCAGTGCACAATTCCTGCCAGTTTACACTTCGCTAGTACCTAGCCAGTTCAAGCTCACCAGCTGCTCCTCAGAAACCCAATACAGGGTTGCTATGAGTCGGAATTGACTCGACAGCACTTAATAAAAAAAATTTTTTTTTAATTACCCAGCCCAACTGGCTTTCTTCTGTTGGAAAAATTTGGAAGTTAATCCAGTTTCAATCAGGAATATTTTTGTATGTATGATTTTTTTACCCTTTGAACTGGGAAAAGCCCCTTTGGTTGTCTTCTTGTTAGTAGGATACACACTGAATTGCTAACCACAAGGCCAGCGGTTTAAACCCACCAGTTGCTCCTCAGAAACCCTATCCAGGGTCACTGTGATTTGGAACTGACTCGATGGCATTTTACAACAACAATCCCGTATGTCAGGTTGAGGTGGGTCTTAGAAGTGATCCGCCAAAGTGAAACTAAACTTACCTATTATAAGCAGTTTTTAAAGTGACCTTGGCAAGGTATCTTGCACCCAGGGATCATGAATGGCATTTTACAGAAATGCCTGGGTTCAAGAGACGATTGGAGGAAAGACCGCTGGAAAGGTCAGCTCTAAACTCTTCTCCAGGGTGAACTAGACCCCAGTCATCGTTGCTGTGATGGGAACCTTTCCTAACACAGGGCCTCCTCACCTACTGGGCCCTTGAATGAAAACCTGGAAACATGGGCTTTGTTGTGGTACCACATGGACAGCTGGAGAATAATCTCAGTAAACCTCTCATATCAGAGTCCTGATATGAAGCAGATAACACCACCCGTTCCTGACAGCCTGCTTTCACTGACGCATGCCCTAAAGATGATATTTAAGGACTTCAAAAGAGTCTCCATTTCTAGAGCATCCTTGTTTCTGAGTGCCATCTGTCAGAGCACTTTCCAGTGTCAGTATTTCCCCTTTACAGATGAAAAAACAGACTGAAATCAAGGAAATGAAGGACATAGGACTATCTTAACACAACTAGTCTACCATGATTGTGTGCTTTGCATTTGGAAAATGGGGAGAATCTTAGAGGTTAGTCTCCTCACTTGAAAGTGAAAAGTTGTTGCAGAACTAGAAGAAAATATGGTTTTCTCCAGGAAAAAAGCTACAATATAGAAATTTTCTCCCCAC